AGGAACTAAGATCGAGCACATTGCGTTAGTGGAAAATATATTGAAAAAGCTGGACGTTTCTAATGTCGCGTTAAAACTACGAAAATGTGAATTTGCGAAAACCGAGTGCGAGTGGCTCGGATATCAGATTGGGGAAAATGGCATCGCGCCTCTAGTAAGAAAAACACAAGCGATAGAGGATCTGAAAACCCCAAAACTTCGAAAGCAATTGAAGTCTTTAATGGGTTCAATGCACAGTTTACACAATTTTTTTCCTAAACTCGCGGAAGTAAGCGCACCATTAAGACCATTACTAAGTCAGAATAACGGTTTTGTCTGGAGGCCCGTTTGCGAAAATGCGTTTCAACAATTAAAATCGCTCGTGGAAAATATTGTCAAATTACGACATTTTGACATTCACCGTGAAACTAGAATTATTTGTGATGCTAGCCACGATGGCCTAGGGGCCATATTAGAACAGTATTTTGCCTCCGGTTGGCACCCGATTTCGTTTGCGTCCAGATATCTTAATCTGGCTGAGAAAAAGTACTCTACCAATGAATTAGAATTACTCGCAGTAGTGTGGGCCACGGAACGTTTTCGAAATTATATATATGGCCGGTATTTTACGGTTATATTGGATCACAAGGCACTACTTACATTGTTAAATTCTTCACCGAAGGGAAATAAAACGTTTTTCAGCCTATTAACTCGATGGTACGATCGATTAGTGCCATATGATTTTAAAGTTGAGCAAAGACAGGGTTCAAAAATGAGAATGGCAGACTATTTGTTCGGTTTCCGTCCGCAGAGGCACCCGAGACAAGTCACTATGATGAAAGTTTTACAGAAGCGAAAATAAAATTGATAAACGCAGCATTGAAGCCTAAGGATCAAAAGAAGCCTAGGGGTCAGAAAGTGAATGAAATTAGGCCAAAACCGACAGCGGAGAGCGATCAGTCATGTTTCGACACAACTAAAACAGTTTCAGCCAATGGGAATGAAAGAAAAGCTGAATATGCGAATATTCACCGTGAGCACAAACGCTCACTAGAGGGCGTGTTTACATGCAACCGGCGGTTAAACAATCAGCATCGAGATATTTGCATACCGGTGGAAATATGCAAATGCCGAAAAAAGAAAATCAAACGTTGTTCTCAATACGTAAATTCCAGTTGCAAGCCCTAAATTATGAGTAAAATGAGTAAAATGAGTAATAAAAACATGATAAATTCACCCGAAAAAAATGACCCACTAACTTCCGCCATTGTTAACACATCGACCAACTCTGGAGATGTCAACCTCAATGTTGTTCTTAATCGGTTAAATCAAACGCCCAGTGTCAGTTGAGATTCAGATATTGAATTAATACCACCTGAAAAAGTTGCTCAGAAGCAGACAATTTCTAAGAAGTTAAACACGATTATCTCGTTTCCCCACCAGTTCCCCGGGTTATCCTACCCACTTGTACAGAATGACAAATGGATTTACTCTATAGTACCACCAGACAGTAAAATCGTTAAAAAGATTGATCACCCGGAGGTCCTGAGTTTGAAATTGATAGAAGCAAATATAGAAAAAGATCCAATTATGGAAAACCATCAGGGATACAATCAGAGACAAAAACCCAACGAGCCAAGGAGATCATAGCAAGACTGGGACAATACTACGCTCAACACTACAATGACTTTGCCGTACGTGAAAGTTGCCAGTTGATGGACGGCCGGTTGGCCATACCGAAGGATATGTCATCAGCAGTACTCAATCGCTTACACTTTAACCTTCATGGACCTGACAAAATGTTTGCAGCCGCAAAAGATGTGTGGATGCCATTTATGCACAGGAGCATCGCCGCTACAGCAAAACACTGCAAAAGCTGCTTAGAAGCAGGTAAAAATCTTAAACCAGATGTACCAAAAAGTGACATGGGGGAAACTTATGTGCCTAAGGAACCGAATGATTTGGTCCAATTAGATTTCTGGGGCCCGGTCAATTACGTAAGCGGTCGGAAAAAGTATGTACTTGTGGCAGTAGACACTTTTTCGAATTGGCCGTCGGCGTATGTCTGTTCAAGTAACAAGTCTAAGAATGTATTGAAGTTCCTAAGGAAGTACATAAATACTAATGGACACCCAAGGAAATTGCATATTGCCACTGGGTTTTTCTCGAATGAAATTCAAAATTTCTGTAACTACGAAGGTATTGAACTCATTAAATCTCCGGTTAAGGACCATCGCGCGACGGGAATGGTCGAACGAACAATTGGGTCGATAAAAATTACGTGCTAATTTATTTTCAGGAAAATAAAAACTATAAGTTTGGAGTAATGATATCCCCTGCGCTCAGCGCGTTACGTTTTGTGCCACATTCTAAGACTAAGATAACGCCTTTTGAAGCCTATCATGGAAGAGAAGCGAATACGGCTCTGCGAAACGTAACGAAAGAACCATCATTGAAAAATCTAAATTGGAACAATGTTGTTAACCAGAAGTTATCTTATTTAGACAAGGCGGGCAATCTCCCGGATGTAGAGCTAACCCTAGATTGAGAGAAGAGGAGAGATTTGGTATACACCCCGGAGAATAGGAAAACCCCAATCATTTTGGATGACGAGGAGTTAGCCGAAACGGATCCTAAGGCTCAGGAAGTAGCTGATCCCAAGGAAGTGGGACCTGTACCTAAAGCTCCAGCATGGCTCAAAAGGCATAAGACCAGCTCAACAACAGTCTACCAAAGGACTGGAAAACGAACCTGAAGGACCCAAGAAGGTATAAACGTTTACCATCGCAAATTGAAAAGTTAACTAAGCATACGGTGCAGATAAAAAAAGGGTCGTTACTAAGGCGAAGTGGTGTCTCTTTTAGATCGGCGGCTGAAGAAAGCCTAACTGAGGATAAAAGTGATGCGTGCACCCCAGGTCCTAGTAAAAGCGTAAAAAGTACCCCGGGCCCAAGTGAAAACTCAAAGTGTAAAAGAAAAGCCGAAAAGGATCGAGTTGAGATGGAAAACGCGCGGAAATCAAAGAAACACCGTATAGTAGAATACAGCGCGGACGAGAGCGAGGACGACGAGGTTAGCCAGTGGGAAATTGAAAGGAACGAACCGGCGAGGATTACGGCGAGCGGGACAAGAAAATGTACCGTCGGGAACGGACAGGGAGATCTCACCGAGAACCGTCGGTGGAAAACGAAGAAAAGGCGAGGCAGCGACGAAAAAATCAACACGACAGAGACGCGGAGTTGATAAAATGGGGGGAGTTATGATCCATCGAATAGAGCACAAGTAACATGATAACACGAGAAAGAAACCTTAAAGAGAGGTTTGACAGGTGTGCCTGAAAACTCAATTTAAACTAAAACTGAACTAGTAACATGAACCTATAGCAAAAGAAACAATGACTTGATAAATTTTATATCTACGCTTTAAAATTTATGTGTGTTTGCCCGAATGAGATAGGGACCAATTTTGAGTTTATGTAAGTGCTATCAATTTGTTCGAGATAGGAACCAGTTTTGAGTTTATGTAAGTGCTATCAATTTGTTCCTTCTGTCTGGGGACCTGCTGTCGTGACCTTGCGATCTCTATGTCCGATGTGATCTGAAATAGAACAGTGCAGTAAGATTTCGATTTGATGCCTAACAGTTGCCTACAATTAAACTTAACAAACAAACCTTTTGTCGACATTATACAATTACGAACTTCAACAATTCATGGAGAGTTCGCCAGTTACCCAGAATCTAAAGGAGGCATGTTTCAGGGCTGGCTAAACTTCGCATTATCTAAAACAGCCCGAGGTATCGATTTCACAAGAATGGCAAATCAATGCAAGCCTCCCAGTTATTGCTCTTATCACATCAGAAACAGAGGCTACACAATTTGAAGAAAGTATTTGAAAAAGGCGACATGAAGGCAATACAATACTTCACAAAATCAAACGCAGGAAATTCTCCCAAAAACGAGAGATTTTCCTGCGTTGACAAATGAGGTGACAGATGAGGCCAAATTTGACTCGCAAACTGGTGAGAGCTTCCAACCGCAGCAAGAGGCAAACGCGATTTTTTGTTGTTCTTCTCCGCCATGCAGTCAAATTGTTTGATCGACATGAAAACTGTTTCAGTGACGCCTGGGAGATCTGGCTCAACCACAGTTAAATTCAGCAGGACAATCGTCAAAAATTAGAGTTCCACCAGTGTGACCAGAGGTATATCATCCTTTCTAATATCACCAAAAATCAGTGGTAAGACTGCCCAGAGATCTTAAACCGAAAAAAGTGAAAAAGAGATAGAAACTGAACTCTGGAACGAAACTTTTTTGTTTATCGTTACGTTTCTTTCAGAACGGCTGAATTTTTCAGAGTGAAGTTTCATACTTCAAGTTGAGGGTGTTGATTTTTTAATTATTCATGTTCTGTCATCGCTGTTTTAAGATTACAGCCTACATAATTCATTCCAGTTACGAACAATTTGATGTCGATCTACTCACAATTAATTATTGTATTTTAAATAGTTATTTGTAGCGTTTCTAGCGACATCTCACGATATAATGAATTAGCAAGGATTGTTGCTGGTTAGTAATTGTCGCCTGTTACGAATTGTCGACGTACCGTCTGAAATGTGAGAGTTAGTTTATACATAAATTAAATTTTCTAAAAAAAATTCAAGCAAACAATTTGAGGTCAAATTACTAAGCAACCTTCATCGTGATGGTTTAATTTGTACCATTTTACCCTTCAAATTCTTAACAATTTGTTCTTAAACATAACAAGATTGGGCGTATCAGGGAAAACGTTGCATGCACTTAGAAACTGATGCGTTTAATTAAAACATAGTGGTCTCTTTAGAATGGAGCTGTAAATAAACTGCTGAGCGCTGACAAAATTTTTGCGTGCCTCAGCATTTAGAAGTTCATTGAATTTAATTATAACTCTTAAAAAGTTCCGGTATCAAATTAGATTTTTATGCCAATCAATTGAGTTTGGTCAAGCTCAATTGATTGGCATGAAAAATTAATTTAATGCCGAAACTTTTTGAGATTTGTAGAATCAAAATCTCTTCTGAGAAATGTAACGCTTTTAAAATCTTTCTGATTCTAGAAGTTTGCTGCGTCTATAAATTATGCCTCTCATTCTCTTCTGCTTCAGTTGTTTTGTCTTGGTTGTCTGATCCGTCGGCCAGTGTCTGCCTGGCTATGAACTGTTCTCGTTTAATCTTCAGATCCAAGTCCTCTGGGATGTCGGGAACAAAAAGATCGATCAGGATCCCAATTACTATCACCAGGTGCTTAAACACATCATTTCGTTGTTTTTAATGCCGAAACTTGCCGAAGTTTTTAATGCCGAAGTTTGTCGATACTCTGCTTCTCCTTATGCAATATTCAACTTTTCCGTTCTTTTTTAAATTTTAAAACTCTGCAAAGCAGGACGTCGCAAAACACAAAGCAAAGTTTTCGGGAAATTGGTTTTTCATTATGAAGCAATGAGTAGGAAGTAAAAAGTGCATTACTAAAAACTCTGTGGTGAAAAATGTTTTAAAAGTTGTTTTCTATCGAGCTTCACCTCAAAAAGAAGAAGAAAGAGTAGTTTGAAGCCGAACGTCTTCCAGTAATAGTCGAGCAGACTCCCCTCCTCGTCTCTCAGTCCCTTGTATCTAGCAACAAACACAAAAAGAAAAAAGTAAAAAAATGACGCCTTCAAAGATATTGCTGAAACTGAAGTTCCCCGGTTTCACGTTGCAAAGTAAATCAGTACTGCTTTAGAACACCTAGACTGCACTCAAAAGCTTACCATTTCCATTTATAAAAATTGGATTCCTAACATTTTTTTGTGTATTAAAATTTGCTCTATGAAACTGTACACCGCATTATCATGTATTTATAAATTGCAAAATCAAATTGTCTGAGCTAATGCAACTTAAGGAAGATTTGAAACTTGTTAAGAAACTTGTGATACAATTTCTATTTTATAAAAATGATACAAGAACTCCAAAATTGAAACTCCGAAATTGAGAAAAAATTGTATTTTTAGAGGCAATTCACATCTATGCTAAAGCAAATTTTGCAGAAAAAAAACACTTGCTAAATGTAAATTGCTTACGGGGGTTATGCTCATACGCGGAAAGACCAAACGCGCAAAAAATCCCAACCAATCAACCACATCATCATCAACTCTATCATTTTGTCCATTATCGGACCGATTTTTTTAACTTATTTGCTTATGAAAAATGACTTCTGATTGGCAGACACAGCTTTCGGGGTGTTTAGTCTTTTGCGCATAAAGGAGGACTCCCTTTTTTTCTGAAAATAGCCCTGCCACAACCACTGTGAACAGAAGACAAGAAAACCATAAACTTTCCTTTGTGTGTTTTTAACTTTCTTTGGTAAAATAAGTTTGTAAGTGCCAAAAAAGGCAACAAAGTTTAACCATTGAAGAGTTCCAATTATAGGTTCATACACTAGCAGTACAACAATCTTCAAAAAAGTTTAAAAAAAACTAATCACCAACTAAAATTCAAACTAATATTTCATAGAGCATTTAGCTATTGCTTTGAAGGAATTTGCTTTTAAAGTTTCAACTTTTCGGAAATATTTGCAATGAAAATTGAACCCACCAAGTAGATGTCCAAAAACCACAATCTTCGCCATTATTTAATTGAGCAAAACTTTTTTTTGTTCAAATGTGTTTTTTTGTCCGGTTAGTTGAAGAGGAAAAGATTAGCCAAACAGAGATTAGTGAAACTGTTTTATAAAAAAGATTCTGTATCACTCTTGGTGACATTGAGCTTAGACTTGAAACATGGAATCTCAGTTCTATTGAAGTCTGAAAAGCGAAAATTCACAACAGATTTTCCTCACAATTGTAAAAGCTTTAGACTTTTTAAATAGATGTAATCGCGAATTAAAAGTAATCCTTTTGATATACTACAAGGCTCTGGCTGAGACATTTTTGGGTGTTACTTGCATTTGTATTGAAACAAAAACTACATCCGAATATTAGGTTCCTTTCCACTTCTTGGTCGGAACAAAATTAGTCCTGGAAATAAGCCTCTTTTGCAAAGTTCGACATAGATTAGTGACAAATAATTTTGGTTATTGGTTATCGCTTGAGTTTGTTGTTGTTCCGACTTTCGATACGAAAATGACGGAATATTTGTGCTCGGGGTGGGTTTTTTTTTCTTCAGACAATTTTCGACTTTTTAACTAGCCAATTTTGACGGAAATTTTATACATCATTCGAAAGGTATTGTTGTCCTGAGCTCAAATTTGAAAATATATTTTACCAGTGATTATTTTTCGTAAAGTTACAGGGGTTTAAAGATTGCCATTTTGGTCAATTTGGGACAATTAACGCGCGATATATTTCGCGCTATTAACGCGTAAGCGGAGAGTTAAACCGTCTTCGAAATCGTTCCAAATTGGTTGAAAGAAGCTTATTTGCCATAATTTGTTTGTTACAAGGAGCGAAATCTATTCTTTTGTAGTTTATATGGCGTGTGGGGGGATTATTTTCATTTAGTTTTTTTTTCATTTAATTTTTAAATCTTATTAATGCTCTATAAACATTAAAGGCAGTCGGAACATTAAGGGCTTCGCCCTGATACGAGCAGTCTTGTTCCATTTGCAAGACAAAACAAGACTGCTCGTATCAGGGCGAAGCCCTGAAAGTTCCGACTACCTTTTAAGGTCTATGGAGCATTAATAAGATGAAAAATTTCAAAGTAATAAAAAAAAAGTATTTTTTTTTGGAAAAATTTGAGATTTTATGTAAAAACATCACCCCACACGTCATATTAAGTACAGAATGATAGTTTTTGCGCCTATTAACAAATCAAATATGGTATATAGGCTTCCTTGAACCAATTTGGAACGATTTCTAAGACGGATTAAATATCGCTTACGCGTTAATAGCGCGAAATTTATCGCGCGTTAATTGTCCCGAATTGGCCAAAATGGCAATCTTTAAACCCCCATAACTTAACTAAAATTGATCACAGGTAAAATATCTTTTCAAATTCAAGCTCAGGAAAACAATAGATTTCAAATGATATAAAAACGTCAAAAACGGCTAGTTAAAAAGTCGAAATTTGTCTGAAGAAAAAAAACCCACCCGTGCACAAATATTCCGTTACTTTCGTATCGAAAGTCGGAACAAAAACAAAAAAAAAGATTGGAGTAAAATTCGTTTTCTGAAACTTACTCCACATAAAAATAAGAGTTGTTTAAAACGTTTAAGGATTTTTTAATTTTTTCAGGGGCGGACCTAGGATTTTCTCGAGGGGGGGGGGGGCGGACTTTCAAAAAGTTTCGAAAAAATTTTGTCGGCCTTTTTTATTTTTAGGTCGACCGAATTAAATTTCTGAGCTTTCCTAAATCACTATTGAGACCCAAGCAGGCAAAACCAAACTTTTTTTGAAAAACCGGCCAAAAAAGACGTTTTTTGGCAGATTTTGGAAAACTTTTACCAATAAATTGCGCTTTTTCGGCGCGCGCTTTCCCGTCAAAATTAGTATTTATTGGTCCCGAAGGCTCCTTTAGAAAAACTTTAGGGTCCTTCACCAAAAATGAATATCTCAAAATAAAACAAAGGAGGGTCCCTTTGGGTCGGTAGGGGGTCGAATTCTTGAAAAATAAGGCGTTCAATACCCTCCCCTAAATCCTTTGATTTTTTTTCAATAGACACTGTTTTGCTGAAATTTTTCGAGGTACAGCAGGAGCTTTTAAACTTTTATATGGAGTACAAGGTTCATATACGAAGGCAACTCCTTAGGTGGCGTAGTTTTCGGATACCCGAGATTAGAAGCAAGAACTCAGTTATGAAGCAAGAACTCATTCACGTTTTTTGTGACTGAAGTTCTTTTTGAAGCAAGAACTCATTCACGTTTTTTGTGACCTCTAACTTTTTCGGCTGGAACGTGGAATTTGCTTTCCTATTATCAAAGGACATGAACTGATTTTTATAAAAAATCGAAAATCGAATCGCAAAAAAAAATAAAAGAAACACAAAAAATGAAAAAAAAAAACATAATCATCACGACCTATATAGGGGACAATCATTTGTTCTTTTACGCTTAAAAAGTTTATTAACTTCTAACCTGCACTTGGCTGTGCTGTTTGTCTGCTCATAATACTGCACTGGAGCGAAGGGATAATTGAAGTCAATATATCCCTCAAGTTCCGGTTCGTCCTGGATGTGCTTGTAGAACAGCTTGTTCAAGAAGTCAGACGTGAACGAAATCAGAAAAGCCTGAAAAACAGAAAACAAGGAATCAAAAATGACTGTTGCAATTCATTCGTATCATTGGTGGCCATGTAACGTATCTTTTCTCTCATAGGGTCCAGCATTACCAAATTTTGTATTAAGCTTCTCTTTTAATGAAACTTTTTTGCTAAACTGAATTCCATCCAACCAATCAAATTTGAGCTTTATGATTGAAAATTCAAAATAACGAAAAGTTCTATTTTGAGCCGTATAACAGAGAAGATTCAATGTGACTGATTTGAAATGGGTTTTGTTTTTGAATTATCTATTGCATATTCACATCTAAGCTTCATCGAAGAAAAGTCGAACAATTTAGAAAAAAGGGGAATTCTTGACATGAAATTTGATCACTTCTCACGTTGCACAATACTGCCACTCTTGAGATTCCAGTCATGAGCTCAAACCAGATACCTGAAAGCAAAAAGTTTGAATCGCGATTTAAAAGTCAACTAACAGTATCAAAGTAATGTTTTTTTTCCAAAAATGGATTCCGAAGCCGGTATTTTGTGATTTTTTGCACCCTACTTTAGTCGCAAAGAATAGGATCTAAAACACTACAACAGCAATCATTTTACTCAATTTGAAACCAGAATGTGTTTTCAGAAAAAAAAACAATGCACAAATGTTTAATAAAAGCAGAAACTGACCGATATTGTTGGCCCTTTCTGGAATGCCTCTGCGCACTTGACACACATACTTGTGGGCATCCAGTCTGATCTCTATCAAGTTATTCAACAGGGCGAACACTGGGGCAAGGGGGAAAGAACATGAGAAGATGGTCACGAAGCCAAACTGCAGCACTACGACGAAAATGAAAGAATTAATCAGTCAGCGCCATGCTGTTTTTCAAGTTCTGTAACTAGGTATTTTTGGTAGAAGTAAGCAAATATAAAATCAGCAAAGAAAAGAAAAAGAATTTTTACAAATTTTATTAGTATTTTACAAATATGGTGGCCGAGAAACGTGCAATTTTAGTTCCAATGGGAGATATCAATAACTTTTTAGGATGTTTTTTCTGTAACTGATTTAATGCTAAAGACATACGATATCGGATGGAAAGTTTCTCACTACTTCGTGGATTTCGAAGTTCAAGTGATGCCAAGTTCAAGTTTAACAAAATTTCTGACCGTCACTACTTTACCATGTTTTAGGCCCCCATAAACGTAAAAAGGTGGAAGACGAGATTAAATTTCACAAGGGTTGGTAAACAGTATCTGTTTAACCTTTATTCAACTGTATTTCGTGGTGTAAAATACAGACTCTAATTTAGAGGTCAAATTAAGATAGACAGAACTAGATACAGATTGACAGGCAGGTACCTGCTAACACCTTACAGTGATTGATCAACTCTCACGAATATAAACAAAAACTAAAAAGATCGAAATATGAAATCCAATAAGAAGCCCCTCACTCTTCCCTACGGATGTAAAATTTTAATACATAAAATTTTAATTAATATAAGAGGTTAGAAAGGTAACGGAACTGTTTTAACTTTTAGGCTTAATGCCGTCCCTCTTCCTGGGCTAAGTAAATTTTGAATCAATTTCCATCTCCACTTGGATTTTATTTTCTGTCAACGCCCTTTGGACTTTCACATGTAATTAAGTCGATCATGAATCCTCCTAGTTTTTCGTCTGTTTTCAGAGCTCTCGTTCTGTGCTTTGGGCTCGTTCTGAGCTGTGCTCTCGTTCTGTTCTCCTTCATTTTGGCTGCTATTCGATAGGCACTCTCTTGATATTAGCGCTGGTCGGATTTGTGGATCGTTTTTGGCTCGTTGAGTCTCTTTGCTCCCCTCGCTCGTCGCTTGACCCAACGGTACGGTTTTTGCTCGTTCATCAATTTCCAATGGTTGGCGAAGTGATACTGTTTCCAATGGTTGGTAGTCCTTGCTGTCTGAGTCGTCTGAATTGATTCATCATTGCTGCGGGTGGTTGGGATTTCTTCGCTTGGTAAGACTTCTGGCTTGTTGTTGCTCTTCTTTTTGTGCAAATCTTTCTCATACTGTTGCGGCCTTCCGTTTTTTCGCTGGTAAAAGTTTCAGTTTCGTCGCCATGGCACTTTTCCCAAGTACAGATCCTTTTTTCAAACTTAAATTCAGAAGCTATTTTTGATTTTAATAATCTATACCGGTTGAGCGATTTGCTCGTCTTCCGCTGGTAGACATTAAACCCCGTTCGCATCTCCTTGGAATTATTGCTCCTCGCATTTTCCCTCCCCCTGGTTCGAGGTGACCTGTTGATCATTTGTCAGCTTCAATGGCGATTTCTTCAAGACTGTGGCTTAAGTAAGTTCTGAGCATTCCTCCCAGCTCAGGATCGTTTTCGGCTAAGAAAGAACTTTTTTGTTTCATGACGTTTCACCAATCCAATTTTTAGGGCTCGGTTTCTTGGTTAGATTAAGTTAACGATATTGGCTTTCCGGTCACGATGCGCTTACAATAAGGTTAGCTTCTTTTAAGCGTTTGTAGAAAATTGTAATGCACTTTATGCCCTGTTGACCGTAATTTCATGAGATTTATGAACTTTTACGGCCGGCCGTTCACTCCACCGTTCCCGTGCTACGGTGATCGTTCACTCCACCGTTCCCGTGCCACGGTAATCGTTTTCTGGGGAGTATATGAGTTCGATTCCCTCGGTGTTACAGAAGCTCTGAAACTTGTTAGACGTAAAGCATTTACCTCGATTGACGTGAATTTTCCGTGGTACCCCATGTTGACATAGTTATTTTTCTAAAAATTTTAAAAGTTTATCGGACGTGTTTGTTGACGTTAACATACCTGAAGGCTATCTCGTGAAACGATCGGTTGCTATTAGTACGTAATTTTTTTGTTCTTTTAAGTAATTTATTGAACCTCAAAAATCCAATTGTAGGAACTCGTTATGTTCCCTTATGTTTCCTTGGAGTTTTCCCAACCTCTAACTTGGGTAGCAACATTTTCAAATTCTTATCGGCATTCCTGCACTGTTGGCAAAAGGTCGCCTTTGCCGCCAGACTGCGGTACATGTAGGGGTACCACACTTCCCGGGCTGCCTCAAATATGTTTCGCTTCCCATGGTGGTAAAAATGGGTCTTTGACTCCATCGGCTTTTGCTGGAGTAAACGGATAACTAGAAGCCCATCTTGCCATGCACAATCGTCCCTTAAGGACAGGTCTTTTGCATATTGTGCCCAATTTATACACCTTCTCCTTGACGTTCTTCTTCTTATGTAGAGCCTCTCGCAAATTAAAGTACGCCGTTGAAGCAAAAGTTTGTAGAATCTATCGCACTTTTAGTAAAATAATATCCGTCGCAGAAGCAATAATTTCTAGATTAATTAACTCAGGTAGTGATGTGGCTTTCATAAGTATTCTACAATCGTGTGCAGTAATTGACATAACCCTTTGATTTGGATTTATTGCAATAATAATTCGCCAGTAATTTTGGAAGGAACTGGCAATAAGGTATTGTTTTTGGTGTCGCGCGTACTTTTGGTGAAGGCTTCAATTTTGGGGTTAATTTTGTTAATTCATCACAAGCGTTAAAGTTTTGGTCCAATCGTATTTAAATTTAATTCTAATATTGAAAAAAAAACAATCGGAACTTTGGTCCAATTTGTACAGATTTGATTATATATTTTTTTTGAAATTTAACCGACTTTAAGGGAAACGGTATCTAAGCGCACACTTATTGTCCCGTGCATTTCGTCGATGTATGCGTTATGCACGTTTCTCGATTTTGATTGGTCGGTTGTCCCGCGCATGACTATCCGCCCTCAACCGTTGGTTTGGGCTTGCACGACTTCTGTTGTGATTGGCCAAACCGTGTTTAATTAGCTTACATGTTTTTCCGAAAGGTGAAATTTTTAACCAAAATCAAGGTTTTTTCTAAAAAATGTTCCCCCTTTTTTCTCTACGATTAGTTGTCCTATCGTATCTAGAAGCTCCTCGATGTTAGGCATCTGATATTTATTATCGTGCACCTGCTGGTTAAGTTCTCGCGATTCGAGTGCTAATTTAACGGAGCCGTCTTTTTTCACTGTGATGACTTTTGTTGAAACAAAACAACGGTCGGATCATTCTTGTAACTTTTCGAATAGCTTGTCAATTTATTTGTCCCTTTTTTCCTGTAGGGTTTCCGGCACTCTACGATCTTTTTGTTGTACCGGCACAAAGTTTTGGAGAAGTTCTGCTTGAAACCTACAGTTGTTAGTTTTTCCAGTTCTAGTAAAGAGTTTTGGAAAAAGCCTCCTGAAATAAAGTTGTCACTGGTTGATGTCCTTGTCCTCTGCTTTCCTGTTTCTGTCTTCGTGGTAGTTTCATCCCAATTCTGTTCCCTAGATGTTCATCACTGTTCCCCCTGGATCTGTCTGCTTAATTTGTAGGCCAAGATTCGCCATTAAGTCGCCTCCCACGATTGTTGGTTTGCTTCCTCCGATGACCCTGACGGTTGGTCTGGTTGTCCATCCGTTTGAGGCCAGTTCTACATCCAAAAATTTTCACAAAAAGTTAATTTTCTTGTTGCTATAGTCACGGAATTCGTCGTTATTGGTAATCTTCTTCTTCTAGTTGATGTCAGTTCTACCCAACGTCTTCTTGAGGTTGTCGACTGTGAAAATCAATGCTGGTGATCAGCTGTTGATCCAGATGTTCATTGGATGCCCGTTTTTTGCTATCTTCATTTTCGGTCCGGCGACTTTTAGTAGTGTCTTTTTCTTGCGACGTTTTGTCATGACCAGGTAGTCATCTGAGCCTTCTGATGACCAGCGTGCTTTTCTTACTGAACAAACCAACAAAGGTGGCATGTTGTGAACTCGTTTCATCCAACGGTGTGTCGTCGACGTCAGACACATCATTCCTTTGGATAACGCCGACCAACCGTCCCACACGACACCCGTTTTACCTAACAGGTTTTCTCGTTCTGGCCTACTTTTTCTGCAGAAATTGCATGTGGCAGATCGTGCCAGGGATCTCTGCATGTATCCCGGGTTGAATCTAAGCTGGTCAAAGTTGTAACACTGACGGTCTGGCCTCCGAGGTCCCCCACGGATTTGGAAGTTTCCACGTCCCCGTTAGAGTCCACTTGGTCCTGGAAAATTGCTGTGGTTCGGTCTTGATTTGCAGAGCTCCTGCCGGGTTTTTTTCCTGCCTTCCTTAATTACACCTACTCGTCATTCCACTCAGCACGGTATAGAAGTATTCTAAGTTGTCCCCTTCCTTTTGCAATGTCTGATATTTCTAGTAAATCTCATTTCGTTCTTTTTTAAACATTGTTTCACAGGTTTCGAGAAATCTTGGGTATCGGATGGTTTCCAAATTCAAGTGCGGCTGCTGGTTGCGCGGCTGCTGGTTGTGCGGTGCGCGTTGTCCTTTGTGTCCTAGGCATAAGTAGAGATTACAGATGAGAGCCCTTTCTCATTCCTCCCTTGTTTTTCCTCCGACAACCCCGAGTGCATTTATTTGAGTTGCTGTTAGTGCTGCATCAAAATAATAGTCCGATGAAACAAGTCCTTGCTTTGCCACCATCGCCCAGTGGATCTGTTGTTTCCAGTGCTCCCACAACAGCTGTGACTTCGCTTGATTCTGAGGCCAAAATTCCACAACTCCCAGGAGTTTCCTCTGACCGCGCCATTACAAGAGTTGGTAAAACAGTATCGGTTTAGTCTTCATTCAACTGTATTTTGTAGTGTAATATCCAACTCTGGTTTAGAGGTCGAGTTAAGCCAAACAGAACTAAATACAGATTGACAGGCAGTTATCTGCGAACACCTTACAGTGATAGATCAAACTCTCACAATATGAACAATAACTAAAATGATTGACATATGACATCCAATACGTAGCCCCTCACAATTAAGATTTCAATTCTTATAAAAACGAATGGCTTAGATATTAAAAGCGTTAATGGTTGCGTGTGTGTGTGTGTGTGTGTGTTTTACTGTGTGTGTTAGTGGGTGTGTGTGTGTGTGTGTCCCTTACCCATCTCCAGGTACTCCTCGAACAGGTCGGGACACTCGGGTAGGTTGAACTCCTCCTCTATCTGGTGTTTCCTCACACTTCTCCCGTCTTTCCCCTCCCCCTCCTTACGCGTCCGATAGTCATTCCACATCTTCATCAGGAGGCTAAGTAACAAACATAATCAGTGTTATAAACCATTCATATCGCTAAAAGCATACAGCGCACGAATTATTTTACGAAGGACTCTCAAAAGCTATGTTGCACATTTTAACAATCATAGTTTTTGATTCTTATCACCAAATTGAAATTTTTATAGTTTAAAAACCAGGAAAAGATAACAAAACCAGGAAAAGAGAACAAAGTTGAATATCATAAAAATTAATAATAATAAGAGAAAGGTGAGCTTGTCTGGAAATTTTTAGCATCACGATTGAAAACTTGTATTCGAAAATTAAATCTCTTCAAAATTTGAAAGTTGCAACCTTTTTTTTCGTTCTTAGTTCAACTTGTTTTAATCTTCATTTATAATTTAATATAATTATCAAAACAATGAAGCTTCTGAAAATGATTTTGAACTGCACTGACGGTTTTCCCAGCTCGATTGTGTTGTTGACAATCTGTTTGCCGACAAAGATGATAGCCAAATTTTGTGCCATCTCCATTAGACAGTCATTATTTGTACACTGCTCCAGTCTCGCATCGGATCCAAACGCCATAGTGTAATTGCCAGGGTAGCCAGAAAATCTAAGCGTAAAATCAAGGCGGGATCTATGATTTTTCCAGGGATATGACGCATTTGCGGAAAATTTTCAAAAATTTGGTCGACTCTTATAGGTCGACAAAATTGAATACCCGAGCACTTTTGGGTATTTCTGGAAAAATTTTGAACAAAAAGTTGCGTTTTTTGGCATTTCCCCCCCCATAATTTAGTTATTATTGGCTCCGAAGCGCCTTAGAAAAAAAACTTATGCTTAGATCGCAAAAATAGATGTCCTTAAAAAATGTATTGTGATGTCCCTTTTAGTTTTTTAAAATCATCATAATGAAGATTTGAATTATATGTAAATGAATAATTATAATATATAAAAGTTAGTAATCTGAAAGATTCCGAGCCGAAACTTCACTCTCCGACCTTTTGAATAAAAAGGACTCTCTGATGCTTCATGAGCAGTCGGAAAATCGTATATTTTTGTTGCATCATAAAAGACCAATGAATTGTTCCAATAAAACATAACCACGGCGAACACAAGTTTCAATGTGCAGGTGTTTCTTTTAACTACTTTCGAGTTAACGAGAAGCGATTTTTCTGTGGCTGATCTAACCTGCCCTTGAAGAATGCGACATATAGTACGGACGAGTACTGATTGAGGAACTGGAACACGAATATCTTGAAGGCCAGATGGTTCTCATGCTCCCCCTGAGTCCGGTGGGTCTCCCAATCCGTCAACACCTCCGCCACTTTCGTGTAGATCTGGAAAAAAGTAAATTGGGCCATTTTTTTAAATTAAATTTTGCTCGTTGAAAGCTTAAAGAAGCTAACCTAAGATATCCTAAGCTCATGCGAAACGAGGGCGTAAGATTATTTGAAAAGATTCATTTAAACAAGACGACAAAAGTAGCCAGCTTTGAAAGAATTTAAGAGGATCACATGAGCTTTTTCAATTCCAACTTTGAAACGTGTCGTTTTTTCATGACCGAGAAATCTTGACCACAAGCAGGCGACGTTTTTTGCAAGAATTCGGATTGACTAATTAGGTATAAGATCATCCACAATCAGAAGATTGTTTAATAAAAATGAAGTAGATCTCACGATGCCGGATATGGTGATGAGGAGCACTTGAATAAGTGCTCCTGTTGCCACCGCCACTGCGGGCGTGTATTTTTCGTCCCAGCTGTCTGAAGTGCGGCTCAGGTCATACAGGGGTTCCATGATGAGGCTGCGGTAGACGACCACGCCCGCCACAAAGACCAAGACCACCATCATCTGAAGTACACGAGAAGTGTGAACAGCAAGGATAAGAAGAGCGAAAACACATGAACAAAAAATTCATTCAATTTTTTACAATAAACTATAAAATGAGAACTTTTTGAGCAAAGTTTTTCAAAAAGCAAATTGAAAAAGAAGTATAACAATAACCAGGGTTGGACCTAAAATTTTTAAGAGGAATATTTTCAAAAAAAAATCGAGACAAAAATGTCAGTCGAATGCAGTAATGGCCATGAAGCTTTTCTCTATAAATAACCTAGTAGTTTATTTGAAAAACCGATTTTCTAGAAAAGAACTCATGTTTCTAGGGATTGACAAGCACCAATGACACAAATCTTCTCGAAAACTGAAACTGCGCCTGAAAATTATGTTAGACTAAAGACGACATTTTTCATTTGTTCAAACTGATGATTTTTATATGAACAATGACTTATCGACGTGATAGAAATGTGATAGAAATACTCAAAAAACGTGAAGATTAAGTGTACCATGAAGAGAAGTGTGACCAGTCCGATGACAATGCGCATGTTTTGAGTCCTAGGGGAGAAGAAGGGCTCTTCCTCCCCCGTGATGGGGTTGGGCTTGTTCTCTGTGGCTGTCATCACATACTGGTACCTGGGCTTTTCCTCTTGTTGCTGGAAGTCGTGCACTTCCCATCTAAAAATAGGAAAAGAGAACTTTGACAATTATAACCATTTTTTTTCTATTTTTCTTGCTTATAGTGCTATTTACAACTAAACGTGTTTTAAAACTGTATCTAACAAGTGTAATCAAAAATTTATGCTACAAAAACTTTCAAAGTTGACAGTTATCACTTTACTAAAAGAAACGATTGGGTCGGTTGATAGATCACTTTGTTTCAATTGGCAACTAAAGATAACATGAGCCTCATGCTAGATGTTATCATGGATCATAATCGATCTGGTGCTAGAGTTAAAATGAGATTTACGAAAACAGATAAATTTAAAAGGATGATTAAATAAGTATAAATGAGTTATAAATGGATAAAAAACTGTCTTAAATACCAAAATAGGTTTGGGGTTTATAGGTTAAGTTACATTGATCTAAGTTAAAATCGCGCAGTCTACTTTTTAATGCTGGACAATATACCAATCTGCCTTACTGGCGACATTCTTGTTTTCAATATCCAGGCCAAATGCAGCAGAAAAAAATGAGTCTGATCTGGAAAGAATTATTCAAATCGGAGGGTTATTTAGAATGTTAGAAAACTAAGTTAAACCATAAGTTAGTGTAGTATTCTCAATACTACAACTCAACCCCTTTTTAGATAGATAGTTGTTCGATACACATTTATTTGTCTTGAAGTTAAGGATTTGAAAGATCTTTTCCGTTTGGTTTAGAAAATTAAAGATGAAATGATGTCTTTGATTTTTTCTGTGGAACTATGCATTTTCTTTCATTTCGTTTCCTTCTATAACGATAATTCCATTTGTTTTTTTCCTTAATTTGACCACTGGAAAGTCATTAGAACTCAATCGCAACCCTCCCCGTCTTGATGTTTTTTGGTATCCGTAATCTTCAAATCTTGATTGCAACCATGTTGCTAGGATTTTGCGTCTGACAACCATAAATGCAATGTAACCTTCATTGTTCCTCCTTGTGCTGACTTCTCCTCGTCTAGTTTTATTTTGAGCTGCCATTTTCTTACCAATTTGCATTCCGTTGTTAGAGATAATCAAAATAATTATTTTCTCTGTGTTTTAGATAATCAGATAATAGAGGAATCATGTGTCGTACATAAATAAAATAATGGTAACTTTTATAAGGTAAGTAATTCGTGATTTGGTATTTTTTGTTTGCTGTAAGTTAGGTATTCTCTTTTTTATTGGTATTCTTGTGTCATGGATAAACCCAGCACAATGAAAAATTACAAAAAAAAAATTATTGCATTTAATCAGCCATCGTTTACAGAATTTGTTTAGTCGTGCAATTGGGTAGTGTCATTGTTAGACACATCTTCAAGACTTACAGTGCAATTTGTCGATACGACTAAATACTCAAGTTTTGAAAAAGCTGTATGAAAATAGAAAAAGCAGAATAAGTTAAAAGAGAATCAGTAAATTAGAAAAAGGAGAATTAGTAAACTATCATCAGAAACTGTCACAATTGAACAAGTATTATCTTTTTCATTGGGAAATCAATATGATATTTTTTGTTTTATGCTGATTCAAGAAAACATCGATAGTTTGACAAAATTGAGAGCTTGTTTTTTCAATTGTGATTGCTCGTCCAAGAAAATGGGTGAGTTTTTTATTAGAAAGAATCAATTTGGATTGAACTGGGAAAAAACAAATCTTGTTCACACTATCAAGTATATGGTCGACTTCAATTAAGATGTGATAATCGAGCACAAAAATGATGCACATTTTTAGGCAGAACATTGTCCTCAGCAAAATATTTTTCGAGTAACTCTCGATATATCTCACTTTCATCGGCTATTCAATTTAGCTTACGATTTGCAATTATAGCAAACATTATGCTCATTTTACTGTAGAAAAAAATGAATAGTTACGTTGATGACAATTAATTGTTTCTAAAATCTAACATGGTCTTTTTGTCTGAGATTAAAATAGTTTTTTATTAATCATCAAAGTTTTTTAATACTGGTTTTTTTAGGTCTCAGTGATCTCCGGTTATATCAAAAATAAACAAATTGGCAAGTGTTTGAGCAAGTTGAAATTTAAAGTTCCTCAATTAACAGTTATAAACCATAAGCTTTTAGGTACTACTTGTTGATATGCGTGCACTTTTTTTTCTGTGACGGAAAAATATGAAATTTGCCACATTGTTGAAGAGCAATTATCATTCGAGTCTAGCCACCAACATTACTTTTCTTTGGCGTAACTTAAATGGGACCATTAATTAGAAGCTACAAATAACACCAACAATCTTGGCATAAATCTACGACGTGTTGGGTCGAAATTTTGGTTCGACCGTTTTCTCAAACAAAATAATCTTACAATGAAGTAATCCTAATAACTTGAGAAGATGATATTTCGTTTTAAACGTTATTCTGCTAGTGTTTTTTGTAACTTTGTGCCTAAGCGAAATTCAAAATCAACCTATCAGCTCTTCTGCACTAAGAGGATTCCGGGGGCAAGAAATCTGTTGCTACAACTTTCAAAGAGTGATACATCAAAGGTTTCAACCCAAGTTTGTTGTGCGCTTTGATTCCAATTGGAGAATATTTTTTTCTTGAAATTTGTGCCGATTTTTTTCAGTCATAAAACCGCCTGAGTTTGAAGTGAAATTGACTCAAAATTTAATTCAGTTTGAGCTCCTGACCTTCAATAGTTTATCATTGCTTTAATAATTGCCAATCAAAAATCATAAGCAAGCGCTACAGAATCCGTTGATTTAAGTATGTTCCATAAAGGTCCAATAAAAAAAATTTTTTGTTTTATTTTGCAGGTATACACTTTCAACCAATTTGAACTGTTTCAGGAAGTTTTAGAAAAGATCACACAGAGAAACGCAGAAGAAAAATTTGTTTGGATTGTCTTAAAAGAATATAATCACCTGCATGGTCATAAGAAATGTTATAATTTAAAGATTAGTGAAAAAAATATTTGGACCACTCAAACTTTGAAATAGTATACAACATAATTGAAAAAAAAATGTATGTTTGCAGTTTAATCATGAAAATGTATTAAACGGTATTTATTTTTTCAATTTTTTTTACCGATTGATCCTTTTGATATAGTTATTTTGACTCTGAGAGTTTTTAAAAAATAATAGGACTGACTTTTTACTGTCTTTAAAAATTTGCTCAGTCCCTTATGTCCTTTGCTCTGTAATTTTTTTCCCTGAACAATTCGGAATCCGTACTTCCTAATATTGATTAGAAAGAAGCTCATTTTCTGTTATCATATGCGAATTGGTTCGCATCTGCAACTGCTGGTTGAGTGGCTTGTGAAAATACTAGTTTTATAAAATATTTTAATAAAATTTCTTGCTCCTTCAATCGGATCTAAACCTGTAATTTTTTTGAGAGCTAAGTCTGGATACGCGACCTCTTTTGCCGTTTTTGTTTTCTTTTTAATTGTTTTATTTTAGCTTTGAATGTTCTTGAAAGTTTTTTCAAACTTGCCTTTAACTTTTTATGGAATCGACGTACTAGAACTAATTTAAAAGTCAAATGGGAGCGAAGCAAATAATTGATCTTCTGATATATTGGTGATATTGCTTGTAAGCTTTTTATTGAAGAAATATTTCTATTTCGGGAGACAAAGACATGAAATTTGTGTTTCTCTTCGTTAAGGTGTTCAGCATGAATTTTTTAAATGATATTTTTCTTTTTCAGCGTTAGTAAAGTTCCAAAGAATTATAATAATTTTATTTCCTACTTTCAGTTTTAATTTTAAAGTGCGAACATCGATTATGAAATGTGTTGATTTTAATTTTTCTTAAACTGTTAGGTTAACTCAATTAAATTCCTTTCTACTGTGATTAAGTTGATTTAAAAAAATAATTGATAATGTTTCAGTGTGTTTTAAATTTCATTAAAACAATTGAGATTAAGCAAATAGAAAACAGTTTATTTTCAGCTAAATTTTGAAAACATGAACTGTGATTTTTTTGACAAATTCTAATTCTAATCCAGCATTTCTAATTTTAATTATCAACTCTAGAGTTTGAATGAAATTTGATATTAGTTCTTTGTAGAAAAAAATTTCAAATTATTTTCTCAAATTTAGGTCTGTTTTGGCCAGTTTTCAGATAAATCTTTCAAAAAAATCTGTTTTTTATCTATCTTAAAAGCGTTAATTTAGCTAAATTGGAGTTTTTTATCCTAAATGGCCTAATTTGAAATAATTTTGAAGGTTAACTTTCTTTATTTTTTTTAAACCAAAACTGAGTAAATTTATTGGCAATTGTTTTGTTTATCTTGATTCAATGGCTATACTTTAACTAAAACTGGTTGAATTTTAGATTAATACTGAATTAAATTAGCTCAAATGAAATTTTTTGGCAAAATTTGTTAAAGTTTTGGTTTATTTGGATTTTGGTTTTGTTTTTTTTTTTTTAATTGAGCTTAATTTAACCAAGATTAGACAAATTTTGGTTAAACTTTGAAATTATTCCGCTTTATTGGCTATATTTTGACAAACAAGGGCAAAAAATTATTATAATGGGAATTTTTTTTTTGTTTTTTTTGTAATTTGTCTGAAAAAAAAATCTGGTTATTTTTTTAAAAATGTATGTCTATCTGGCTTAATCTGGCTCAATTTGACATAAATTGAGCAACAAAAACTTTTAAAACGGAAAATCATTCGTCTTTATTGTAGTTTTGTTCACTATAATTAGGAAAATTTCTGTTAAAACGGTGGTTTATTGAGTTTATTTGGAATAAATTTGACTGAAGTTGGGTTATTTTACTTAAAAAAGGAGTTTGCTTAGCTTAATCGGATTTATGTTGACAGTAATTGTCCACAGTTCTGTTAAAATGGAAGTTCAAGTAGGTTAACCGGATTTACTCTGGTTGAAAGAGCGCTAAATTTTTTTAAAAAGGAGATTATCTAGCCTAATTGGACTTAATTTGACTAAAATTGGGCAAAATTTTGCTGAAAAGGAAGTTTATCTAGATTAATCGGTTTTATTTTGACTAAATTGGGGCAAAACCTTGTTAAATTGGG